ATGAATACAGAGTGTAGTTAACCAGATTCTAAATCTATAAATATTTGATGAAAAGTGGGAAGACCCCTTAAGCCTTTCCTGTGAAATTTGCCTGGAGCCTAGACTATGTTAATCATGCTAAGCAACAATCACAGTTCTTTCTTGGAATAAGTGTCAGTTAACTTTAAGAGTGGGATGCTTTCTAGATTTAATAAAATTAGCCAAGGTACTAAAACTATGTAGGAAAATCAGAGTTATAATTATTTTGCTACCCAAGAAGCATGAAAGGTACCTACAAATAAACTATTTAAGGCAAATTCAGTCGGTTAAGGTTGGAGATGGAGATGCTTGGACAGTTGAGGCCACTGATACTGGTAGAAGGATCACAGTGGGGCTGGGACAGAGAAGAGTTCACCCTGGTGTAGCCACAGAGAAGAGTTCACCCTGGTGTAGCCACAATGAATGAGAGCAAGCTTTATTGTTTGAATTATTCTTGCCAAACTAGTGTTAAGCACAGTTGTTTGTATTTGGTGTCAGAGTCATCTAAATTTCAGTATCCTGAGGAAAAGCCCCAGTCACCCTCACCTAGTTATAGCTGTGAGGATGTAAGAGAAAATGTCAGTAAATCAGTGGATAGGATGCTGGGACAGGAGTCAGGAGCACCTGAGTTTGAATATGGCCTCAGATACTTATTAGTTATGTCACCCTGAGTAAGTCACTTAACCCTGTTTGCCTCAGTTTCCTCATCTGTAAAATGAGCTGGAGAAGGAAATGTCAAACCACTCCAGTATCTTTGCCAAGAAAACCCCAAATGGGGTCACAAAGAGTCAGAAAGGACTGAAACCAATGAACAAACAAATTGCTTTCACAACAACAATGAAGAAGAAAAAGCAGAATGTAGAACACAAAACATTTACACAAGCTTAACCCATAAGCTCAGAGAACCCAAGGCAGTTATTATTTCACATTACATAGAGACATTATTTACTATACTCGTAGCTCATTAATTGAAAGAGGTGATGAACTACATTAGGCTCTGCTACACCAAGGACCACCAAAGTTTGTTATCCAGATGCGGAATCCAAACCTAGGTGGATAGAGATCAAACACGCATCTAATGAAGAAGAACAGTCTGTCAACACAAACATGGGATTGTGAATCAAAACTGAGCCCTCATGGGATGCTTTGTTATGGTTCAAACTGCTCCTCTCCAAGTCTCCAACATTATTCATAATGACATTTATAGACTTTTAAGACTGTGGCTCCTATTGCCATGACATAAGCCCAAAGAGATAATTTTCCATTCACAGATAAGGTATTAGTGGGAATTTTCCCACTAATTTTCCATTCATGTAGCTGGAATCATACAGTTTTTAAGGTTTAAAACTCAGGTGTTACAAACATAAAAACACAAAGAAAGCATGGAAGATGGGGAAGTAGACAATTACTGAGCTTTAAGATAATATTGAGTGAAAGAATGATTCCTTTGGGGAAATTGAGAAAGATGAATCAACACCTGGGTACCATGGGATATTCCTTTCCTCCTAGGTATTGCTCATTAAACTTCTTCCCATGACAAGCTCTTTTCCTCTCTCTCCATTTCTTTCTTTTCCAGACATCTTTTTGCTAAATTATTATAGAATCATGAAGAGACCATAAGGCACAGAATCAGGAAGAGGCAGCACTGTACAGTGTAAGTTACATTGGCTCTAGTGTCATAGGTCCTGGGTTCAAATACCACCTCTGACACTTCCTATGTGACCTTGGGCAAACCCCTTAACCTGCTAGGGCCTCAGTTTTTTAACCTGTCAAATGAAGGGGCTAGACTGTATGGCCTTTGAGGTCTCTTCTGGTTCTATGAGCTTATAAACTCCTGTTCATGTCCTCCCATAGATTTGTGACAGGAGATCCACTGAATACCATTCTTCAGTTAATTCAGCTAAAGATTTTGTTTATAATCTTGGATGAAATAGCATATTGTTGACTTATATGTAGCTTCGAGTCTACCAGCAGCTCAAATCCTTCTAAGACACTCCATTGTCTTAACCTTCTTTATCTTGTACTTGGGAAGTTCATTTTTTTAAACCTAAGTATACACTTTACATTTACTCCCAGGTAAAGTTAATCTTATTAGATTTTGCCAAGGTTCTACAGGAGAGCTCTTTTGGGGATCATGAGTCTGTTCTCCAACATATTAGTTATGCCTCGCAGCTTTGGTGATCAGCTTTGGACCATAGAGAAATACATTTTTACTCCCTTTTTTCATGGCTGACACTAGGAAGGAGAAGAAAGAATACTAATCACAAATGTCCATTTTACACTCTCTGTCCTCAGTCTGTGAAGGGTAACGTTATTTCATTTCTCCATGCTAGCTCAGCTCAAATTTCACTTCCTCCAAGTAAGTGTCTCAGATGCCCCGGCCAGAAGTTCCTTTGAACTTTCATAGCACTCTGCATCCCATTTACTTTCAGATTCTGGGTTGTATACGTCTATAGACACAGAAATTAAAAAAAAAATTTAACTTCCCATTAAATTAATTTGTATGTATCCTTTCCCTTCTCCCAGTGAATACATCATATGCTTCTTCATTTCTGACTTGGTGACTAGCACCTCTATCCCTTGCTTACGGTAGCTTCTCAGCAGATGAGTTGGATTTGTTGATCATCCCAGTCCTTGCACAGTATTAGAAGGCAAAGGAGTTTTCTGGAACAACTAGCTCATAACTGAGTTACTATGTATCTTTTTAGAGAGATCCCTACATATTTCCTGGACTTAGGCTTGGTAAAAAGTATTCACACATTCCTTCATTCCACAAATATTGGGGGCCTACTATGTGGAAAGCACTGCGGTACATGCTGTGGGGGATATTAAAAATTAAAGTCCCTGTCAGAACTCAGTATCTAGTTGGGAAGACAAGCTATGAATACAAATAACTTACAAGTCAGGAAGTAAAAATGTCATATGAGCAGCACAGTCAATAAAAGCCAAAGAGAATTAGACAAGGGGGAATTTCCTCCCATTTAGGGTAATCAAGGGATGCCTTGGAGGTGAAATATGAGTGTTAGTTCCGTAGGTAGAGATGAATGGGGACCAGAGGGAGAGATGAGGGCATTCTAAAGGGGAAGAACACCAAATCTGGAAAGTCCAAGGCACTTGAAGGAGATCATGAGGACACTGTTCGGTCAACGTGCAGGATTCATCTAAGTGTATAGTGGGAGATGAAGCTCAAAAGGTAGTTAGGTACAGTAATGTGGAATCATCCCCCCCATCACTTAAGATGCCTCGTATTTCCCTGCCTTGGTGCTTTTGACCTGGAATGTTCTCATCCTTTCCCCACTTGCTGTCTTTACTTAGGGAAATTCTAGTCATTTTTCAAAACCGGTTCAAATGTTTATTTCCTCCATGGAGCCTTCCTTGAATGGAAGGCTTCCTTGACTAAGGAGCCTGTGTTTTATTCAATAGACCAGTGACAAACAGATTAATGACCTTACCCTAAAGGATAACATCATTAACTGTATTCCACAAGTTTATAAGAAAGAAGGGATATGATGAAAGTAGTACTCTAGAAAATTTCATCTGCCAACTATGTCCAAGTTCTTTACAGAACATACCTTATACCAGCATGGAGACCAATGAGGAGGCTACTGAAATAAACCTGGTGTGAAGGTCTGAACTGAGGTGTGGTAGTAGGAATGGAAGGGGTAGCTAGGTGGTATAGTGGCTAAAGTTCTGGGCTTGGAATCAGGAGGAATCTTCTTCCTGAGTTCAAATCCAGCCTCAGACACTTACAAGCTGTGTGATGTTGGACAAGTCATTTAACCTTGTTTGCCTATTTCCTTATCTGTAAAATGAGCTGGAGAAGGAAATGGCAAACCAACCTAGTATTTTTGCCAAGAAAAACCCAAATGGGGTCATGAAGAGTTCAATATCACTGAAATGACTGAACAACAAAGCAGGAATAGAAAAGAAAGATCAATAAGACTTGGGAACTGCTTGTACGTTGGGCAGCAGAGGATGGGAGGGAATCAAATATATTTTGGGCTTGGGCAAATGAAACAATAGTTCTGCCATCAAAATTAGGGAAGTCAGGAGGAGGAAGTGGTTTGTTAAGGAGTCAAGAGAAGATGATATTAGATTGAATTTGATTTGAGAATAGGACATTAAAGTCTAAATAATTTCATAACTGGAAATACCAGGTTGGAGCTCATCAGAGAGATTAGAGCTAAGAATATCAATTTATAGTTACCTGTAGATTCCAGAATAGCACAATGACACAAAATATATAATACTTTATATATGTATATGTATATACATACACATGTATATATGTGTGTTTATATATGTATAGATACACATATATATACATACATATATTTAATATATATTATATATACATATATAATAAATCTTGCTGATTTGTTTTAATTTTTGTGTTCCAAAAGCTAGTCCGCAGTGATTTTTTTATGAATCACAATCTTAAATTCATTTTCTCAAATGCTAGGTGATTCCATTGACCTACTTGGGATGTTTCCACAGTGGTCATCCCAATCCCCGGTGGATTCTAATGAGGCCTTATGAAGGTGATATGTGACATGGTAGTCCGGTTCAAAGTACAAGTAGGGCTCAAGGACGATGACATGTCACACTTAAGGGACTATGATTTCCTATCAGATCACTGAAGATAAGTCTTCAAAGTTTAGCTTTGTTAATAGCAGCAAAGATCAGGCGGTAAAGAGTTCACCTCTAGGTTCACCTCAGACCCCTCCACAGCCATTCCCTGTCTGCTAGCTGCTAGTCTAGGATAATAATCAGCTCCTCTCTGAGAACTGTTTGTGCCAATTCTCAGACCCAAAATCATCCTTCCCTTTCTTTAAGATGAGCTGTTGTGTAATTTGCTTTTGCTGAGGCACAAAACATTATTAACTCACATTCCAGATGAAATAGTTACAGACTTGAAAATGAAACCTCCCACACATTTTCTTTTCTTTCACTTTCTTATTTTTTTTTTACCAGTTCTTGGAAGAAGACTGTACACAGAAACATATGAACTATGACTCTTTTCTATATGCCTGAGGTAAATAGGTAGAAGGCTGTTTACAGGACTGAATCAGGTGAGCATGAACACGCAGCTATATATTTCCTAGAAAAAAAAAGTACACTTTCTGATATAAATCTTTGTTAAGGCTTGTCTTGAGCTTTTTTTTTTTTCCCTTTGAAATCTGGCACATGAGCCCATCTGATGCTCAAGTGGCTGGTTGAAATTGGCCTCTTTTAATTACATAATACCCTGAAAGGAATGGTTTTTTTTTCCTTTTCTTTCTGGTAAAGGAAGAATACTGCAGTTCTTTATCTGCTTGCTGCCCCTACAAATACATCAGCAGCACTTTTGACCCCTAACCTGTACTGTCTCTTCTGTCAAAAACACTTTTGTTTTTCCCTCCTAGGCATGATCTTGGTGAATCTCCTTGCTGGCTGTTTGCTAATATTATCTCAGACATCCATGGCCACTGTTTGCATCTGGCTTCAAAGAGGTATTGTAAATATTGGTTTATTTTAAAGATGGTTTCTGGGTTCTTTGTTTCAAAAGTCTTATTTGATTTTATTCACTCTGGATACAGTTCTTTATCATCCACTAGAATGTAACGTCTTTGGGAAGAGGTCATCTTGTTTTTGTCTTCATGATCCCAGAGCCTAACACACTACCTTACACCTGGTAGGTGCTTAATAAATGCTTGTTAAATTCAATTGAATTTACCCACAATCTTGCTGTCACTCACAGTTTGAAACTATCAGTAGTTTGCCCTTTCTGTTCCCTTCCATATAATCTCAGATACTACTCTGCCTGCCCTCACTCCACATAATCAATACTCACCCTCCTCTTTTATTATTCAGATACCTCTCAATCATTAAAAAAATCTTTAGGGGGATATCCTCAGCCATATCTCCAAAGTCAAATTAGACATAGAATAACCGGGCAGGAGCAGAATCAAGGCTACGTGTTTCTGCAGAACACCCAAACACCGGCAAGATACGTCTCCATCTGTTTATTGGAGAGCAACTACTCTGACAAACAACTCCAGCCTTCTCTGATAGGAGATGAATAGTGAAGAGCATGTAGCTCAGCAGAATCAACTTTTGATGGAAAAACTTGCTCATTTGTGTTATCTTCATGCTGCATAAGCTGCCTTTCTGGGGTCTAAAGACATATGACAATCCTCCCTCTTCATGTTTAAGAAGATGCATGAGCCTTTCCTCTCAGGATCTTAAGGACATGGAACTCAAAGTTTTAAAAACAAAAGTTAAAAAAATGTTTTCACATGCAACTGGGAAATAAGATATACAGGAAATGGGGTATAGAAATCTATCCTGTCCTACAGGCAAATTGAAGGGGAAGGGGATAAGAGAATGGGGGGAGAGATAGAAGGGAGGGCAGGTTAGGAGAAGTGGTATTCAGAACACATGCCATCTTGGGGTAGGGGGAGGGATGAGATGGGGAGAAAATTTGGAACTCAAAATCTTGTGGAAGTGAATGTTGAAAACTAAAAATAAATGAGCTAATTTTTTTAAAAAAAGGAGCAATCAGTTTTATAGGCTTAGACTATGCCTAGAAGGATACCAAAACATCAGGATAAAAGGTTTTTGTGTTTTGAAGGCCAGCAGTTGTCTGTGATCATGTCTCTCTATTACTTCCTCCTCCCCATGTCCTTCCCAGACACATGCCTAGGCACTTCTTTCCTCTCTAGCTCCAATTCCCACCCATTCTTCAAGGCTCCATTCAAATGAGACCAAGTCCATGATTCCTTTCTTTTCTCTTTCCTTCTTGCCCATGCCCCTCCCCACTCCAGCTAGAAATAGTCTCTCTCTCTTCTCAAAACGTCCATTTCACCTTGTATGATTGCATAGAGCTTTTTATCTTCTACTTTTGAAATAGAGGTATTTGCATCAATCTCTAATAAGGTTCTTGAGTTCAGGTATTCTGCTGTACATTTCTGTGTAATGATAATTAGCACTTGCATAGCACTTTATGGTTTGTGATATGCTTTAACATTCATCACTTAGTCCTCGATCTTGCAAGCGAGGTAGAGAACATATTATTATTCCTATTTTACAGATGAGGATGCTAACTCAGTGACATAAAATAGCTTACCCAAGGACACAAAGTTAATAAGTGGCAACGTGTGGATAAGAACTCAGGTCTTTAGATACTAGCGTTAGTTTCACTAAATGATACTGATTCTCACTGTACCTAATATGATGCTTTGGATGTAGTCAGCCTAAATATTTGCTAACTTTGTTGAATGTATAGTTTTTTCCTCTGCTGTCAAATATCTGGAGAGATGAAAATATTAGGCAAAAACATAGATGAATGTCTGACTTCTTCATTCTTCATCTTTGATGTGTCTACTTCTGCCTTTCCTGGATGCATAATGGGCTGGATTGCATTTCTCCCCTATATTCTGATAGAAGGGGCTGGCCCTTCTGGGGGTGGTGGCAGCTATTCATGCAATCCCAGGTGTTAGTGGGTCTAGTTGAAATAGACTTGGAGTGTTTCCCCTTCAGTGCAATTGTTGTATTCTCTGAGTCTGGCTTCTCCCTCCCCTCCCCTTTTCAGGCCCCAATTAACTAATTCCCATTCCTTCTTATTATACATCCTCCCCCTCCAGGGTCTGGCAGGAATGAGAGGACTATGTGGATTCCTCTCTTTGTAAGTGGCTGCCAGGACCAATCTCTCTGATCAGTGCTGTTCCAACAGGAACCATTTAAATTGGGTGTCTCTAAAACTGTCTTGTACTCCATCATGTTCCCTTTGTAGCTTTTGTCTCTCTCCAGAAATTGCATAAATCTATACACAGTAGGTTTCTTGAGGAGACAGGGGGATACCTATATCTATATCCATATCTATACCTATATCTATCTACACACAGACACCCCTATACACACATACATATTAAAGAAAAGCTCTTTTTGTTTTTTTTTTTACTCCAATAGGGTTTAAACTATGGAAGAAGACCCAGTGGCAGAGGCTTTGGTCTTTTCAATAGTTCTTTATGTGAAATCTCTCATAAGGAAAGCACCTTACTTCAGAAAATAACTAAAACTCTACTTTCAAAAGCTTTTGTTATACACTTAAGGCACAGGGTGGGGGGAGGGGGGAAACGAAAGCTTCTCTTCCTGTTGGTACTGAAATCCGGCATGATTTTGTGTCTAGCTCTTCATTCAAACAATACTTTAATACCAGAAATCCTTAATTAAATATTTCCTTAATTATTCCCATTAGTCTTTTTGTTTTTGTGCACATTGTATTTTTTTTTAAAATAGGAAATCTTTGGGGAATATTTGGACCACTAATGAAATCTAATGTACTCCCTTTGTCTGTGATCCAAATGCTGGGAATATCCACCCCTAAAGAAATATGGATCTGAGTAATAACTCATAGATTCGTGAGGGAGGCCACCAACAGCCTTTGAACTAGGAGTAAGTACATTCAGCTCAGCTAAGTTAATTCCATTTTTGCTCTCTGCCACTTTAGCATGAGCTCTTCCAGCATCAAAGAAAAATGAGAGGATATTTTCCTACTAGGGGAAATTTTCAGAACACACTAGAATTTAAGCTAAAGCTCATTTATCTTTCATCTGGTCCCCACAAAGCTCTTGCTATAGTTACCTGCAATGGGATCTTTCAGGCTCATTGGGGTCAGAATATTCTGTGGCTTTCCAGAGCATGTTCCCCACAGAAATAAGGGTACCAACACTGAGAGTGCTCTGAGACACATTGCATTACACAAATAGGTCAGACCAGCAAGAAAGTTAGGCAGAATGCCCCAGGCTAAAGGGAATTTGAAGTCATCATCCAAGGCAGATGTTTGGAAATGGAAATGTTTGGCATGTACCACTCCACTCTGGGCTTTGGTTTCTTCTTGTAGATAATAGGGCACAGACTTCATTCATTATCATTAAAATCTTGAACTGTCAGAGCTCGTGGGGCTCTCAGAGATCACCCAGATGTGGAAAATATAGTATAGTAGTATATTGTACCTGGAATTAGCAGAGACTTGGATTCCAGTCCTGCCTAGGATGCCTATCAACTCTATGGCTCTGGGCAAATCAGTTGAACTCTCTGAAACTGTTTCCTCCTGTATAACATGGGGATAATTATTCTTGTAGTACCTTCCTCATAGAGCTGTTGCAGGGTTCAAAGGAAAACACTTTGCAATTTTTTCAAGTGCTCTGGGTGTGTGTCTATGTTTATTGTGATTACTCTTGTTGTCAGAGGTTACACAACCAATTAGTGGTAGAACCAGTTCCAGAACCCTGTCAAGATATTAGGAGGCATCCTGTTTTCCAGAGCTAAGGCCTGGCAAGCAAGCTGTACCCTGAGCTTGGCATAAGAATAATCCTTTGCACTCACCATCTAAATGATCTCACCCTCTGGAAAAATCATATAAATAATGTATTGCTTTGACCAGCACCAGGTGCTCTCTGAGTGTGGGCAAGCACTGGGCAAGTACCCATGTTCCTGTCATGAAGTACTGCTATGAATCAGACTTGTTTCATTGTTTCTGTTACCCTTCATTGTCAGGGGTATAGCTTACTGTGTAGCAATTGGTATAAGTATCCCCCACACTGCCTCAGATCCCCTCTCTAAGGGTGGGGCCCTGGCACATTTGTCTACTCTGCTTCCTTGCTTTCAAGCTGTTTCCTTCACTTTGAAAATAAACTTCTGTTTGATTCCTGACTCTTCTGTCTCTGTCCTGCTCTGTTCAGCTCTGGCCCTCTACAGGTTAGAGGCCAGTTTGGTCTGGTTGACAACCGCAACTTGTGCTTTCTACTCTAGTAGTCAAAACTGCTGACAATAACAATGTGTACAAATAGGTGGGCATTTTACTTGTAACCTCCATATTGACTGCATGGGGCAATTTTACTTGGCTTTAACATCTTAATGTTGTACAGAGGCAAAGAGCAGCAACTCTACAAATGATCCCTTCAATTCTTATCAACGAGCTCTGATAAGTTACTAACGGGTACCTTTAGTGGGGAAGTTACTAAAGGTCAAACATGAACTTAATGACACTAATCTGTGATACCTGTGTTTCTAATTTAATATGGGTATTTATGAGTAGCTGGCTTAGCATCTAAATGAGCATATATAGGCAATCAAGGTCATGATGTGTCTCCTGAAACAGAAATACTCGGTGAGCACACAATGTACATTTGCTTTAATCACCTGAATATTTGGTCCCCCACATGTCTGGGTGGCTACAGCCATCTCTCCTTTTATCCCAGAGGGTCTGTCCAAATTCATCTGCAGCCTTGGTCCTAGCATAGCCCTCTGAAGGTGACATATCAAAGCCTAGATAACCAGCCCTCTCATTTCCAAGATAGGCTCATTCAATTGAAAGATATTTGTGTCTGATGACTGCAGTGTTCTTTTCCCATTTTTCATGGGTTCATTTAGTCATTCTCTATTCTGTTTATATACTAAGAGTTGCCAAGCCTAATTCCATGGGGAAATAGGGAAGATTAAAATGGAA